CATTTATAAAAGTAATTGAAAACTATTGTGAATTATTATTGAAATATATAATTCTCACAAATTACAATGTATTGCCATAGTGAAACCCTTCATATTTCAATATAAAAATATTCTATATTCTATGTTATTTAAAGAAAAAAGCTCATTTACAAAGTGTATATAGATAATTGTGTTGTCTAAGACAAATTGTGAAGTGTCTTTATGACCAATATTATTATTATTATATTATTATTATTATTATTATTATTAGATTAGATGAAAACTGTAAATAGAGTTTCAGTATCAAATATTCTTGTCAGATACAATATAAGTTATTTACAATTTTTAACCTAAGACCACTTATACACCTCATGATGTCAAAAACCAATTTCATGATTCAAAAGCAAATTTTACTTTGAATCAAACTACATTTACAAATAAATTGAAATGAAAGTCTATTAAATTTTATGGTAGTCTACAAAGAAACAGGTTTTTTGGATGACAAACAACCAAATTTTATTTGGAAAGTTAAAGATTTAGACTTTCCAAACTGTCTCGATTAAAGTGAAAATCTAGTTATTGACCTTTAACCTCAGTGAAACCCAATAAGGCGTTCTTGTTTCCAACAGAGCATGAGAAGCTTAACTAGTTATACTAATTATGGAACATTAGATTGGTGATTGGTTATATTTGTCATATTTTTTGAGGGGACATTGGAACCCTTACTAGTTTCTGATATTTAAGATGACATTTTAGTTATTTTTTTATGCCCTCGAAGGAACATAAGCACAAGTTTTTTACCCTTGATAGAACAACAGAATCTTGACTAGTTATATATTTTTTGTTCTTGATGGAACATCAGAATTTTAAGTAATTTTATTTTCTAATGCCCTTTTTGGAACATGAAGTTTAGTATTAGTACTAATTGTATTTCTCTTGCTTTTTACAGAACATTAGAATTTTGACATGTATATTTCTCTTGCTCTTGATTTACCATTAGAAATGCAACTAGTTATATTTCTCTTGCTCTTGATGGAACATTAATATCTTAATAGGTTATTTTTTTTATGTTCTTTATGGAACATTAAATCTGAACAGTTATATTTCTCTTGCTCTTTACCGAGCATTAGAATTTTGATTAGTAAAATGTCTCTTGCTCTTGTTGGAACACAACAATCTTTAATGCTTTAATTGAACACCTTTTCTGGGTTAAATGTGTCAGTATATTATATTATTCAGAAATTCAACATTATTTGCAAAATCATGTCAAAATCTGCAATCTGTACTGAAGTATTTGAGACTACCACTTCTTACAATGAAGTTGGTTGTGATATGTAATAGAGTATTTATATCTATGTATAGTTTTTACATGGTTTATTTTTCTCTCTGTCAAAAACCTGAGCACACCTTTACTCCCCTACCATATATATCACCAAGACCTTTAATTCATATCCCTTCCCCTCCTTCCTCCAGTATTGTGTGTCAAATCTCCTTCCCTTGCCTTCTACCCAGAACTAATTTATTTTCATGTATATGCTTTATATAAATATCTGTATTTGTGGAAACAAGAAAATCTAAATGTTAGTGATATATTTAGCCAAAGATGAAATTCTTCAAATGTTTTTTTTTCTAATTACCATGAAAGGATTAATGTACTGATTGAACTCATGTGATAGACAAAAAATAACCTGAAAAAATACACCTCATACTGAATTATAAAATTACTCTGAATTATTGTATTATTGTGCAATTGAAGAAATAAAGGTAAAATAAATGGTCTTTGGTACCAACATACTGTACTTTAGTCCCTTTCATGTGATCATTATTTAATCCAATAAATGATAAAAACTGTTTTAATTGTCTTTTGTTTATTTTTTTCATTCTCAG